CAGATATCGTGGCAGGGGCAGCATTTTCGCAAGGTCAAGTGGCAGGCGCAGCACTTTCGCAAGGTCAAGTACAGATTTCGTGGCAGGCGCAGCATTGTCACAAGGTCAAGTATAGATAGATAGATAGATAGATAGATAGATAGATACAAAGACGAAGAAAAGTAAAGAGAGATAGATAGATAAATAAATAGATAGACAGACGGATAGAGAGATAGATAGATAGAGAAATAAAAAGAGAGATAGATAGATAGACAGACAGACAGACAGACAGACAGACGGACAGACAGACAGATACATAGATAGATAGATAGTAGATAGATAGATAAAAACAGAGATAGATAAAAAGAGAGATAGATAAAAAGAGAGATAAATAAAAAAGAGAGATAGATAGATAGATGGATGGAGAGATAGATAGATAGATAGATAGATCGATCGATTGATAGATAGATAGATGGATGGATAGTAGGATGGAGAGATAGATAGATAGATAGATCGATTGATAGATAGATAGATGGATGGATCGATAGATAAATAGATAGATAGAGAAATAAAAAAAGAGATAGATAGATAGACAGACAGACAGACAGATACATAGATAGATAGATAGTAGATAGATAGATAAAAAAAGAGATAGATAAAAAGAGAGATAGATAAAAAGAGAGATAAATAAAAAAGAGAGATAGATAGATGGATGGAGAGATAGATAGATAGATCGATTGATAGATAGATGGATGGATAGATAGATAGATGGATGGAGAGATAGATAGATAGATAGATCGATTGATAGAGAGAGATAGATGGATGGATGGGCTTACACGTACGTACCTGCACACGAAAAGAAAGAACATCGCAACAACAAGCAAAATAAAGAAAGGACAGAACAAAAACAAAAACAGAAAGAAGGAAAGAAAGAAAGATAGAAATAAAGAAAGAAAAAAGGGAGGAAGGAAAGGACAAAACAAACAGAAACAATAACAAAGAAACAAAGAACCAGTGAAGATGAAGAAGAAGAGAACAAGAATCAAGAACAGACAGATAAACATAACTGTAGTTTTATATTTTGAAACTTCCGCCCACCGGCTTCGCCGGCTCTACTGGTATTACTGAATGCTTGCTGGCTAAAGTTGCTCGACCCTGTTCGCAGGCATGGAAAGTTCGAGATGACATCAAGCGCATCACCTACAATCTTTTGAGGGGGCCGCCAGAGCTATTTGAGATCATGAAGTCTATTTTCGAAAACAACAAGCCAGAGCACGCAGGCTGGGTAGGAACTATCAACATCAATAAAGCAAATTGTTATCAAGATATTCGTTTTTCAAGAACTGCCCCTTTGGCTTTCCCTGCCAGCTGTCACGATGGAGAACTTGGACACGGACGCCTATGTTGTTGGCACTGTCCTAGACCAATGTGAAGGGATCTGGAAGGAAATCCAGACTGTGACCAACGAATCGTTGACTATGTGGATGCAGAGAGCGAAGAGTGACTTCGAGAAGAAAGCACCCAAGGGATCCTCTGTCAAGCAGAAGGCCCGGTTTCTGTAGAACTCAGAGGAAACAGTTTTAAACGTGAACGAAATGTATATTAACAAGCTGTTTGACCATCAAAGACATGTTGTTTAAGTTCAGGCCTGCCTACTTTGTCCTTTAACCCTTCAGAAAATGGCCCAGAAAGACAGCGCTGGCATGGTTGACCTGCTCTCTTTGTCTTGTATGATGTCCTGGCTGCAGCCGAGATTCGAGCAGCAGCTGGGCAAGGGCTCGCAGTCGCTGCAGCAGATCCAGGAGATGTGGAACTTGGGGAGCCTTGGCCGTTTGCAACAAAATTCCACATGTTTTGTGGGCCTTTGGAATTCCAGCCCCAAAAACATGTGGAATCTGTAAACCGCACCTTTTTTTGGTTGCAGGAAAAAAACCACATGGTTTTTGGGCCTTTGATACAAGAGACCCAAAATTTCCCTCGAGCTGTTTTACAAGCGAATTGTAGTGTGGAATCTGGATTCCGCGCGATTTTGGGTGGCTCCTCCAGGGATGCACAAAATGTAGTGGAACTCTGGGCCAAAAACACAAGATTCCCTCACCAGTGTCAACAAAACGCTACATTCTTAGACCTGATGCAAAAAAAACGCAACATTCCCTGACCAGTGTCCAAAAAGACCGCTACATTCCTAGACCTGGCGCAAAAAAAACCGAAACATTCCCTGACCAGTGTCCAAAAAAACCGCTACATTCCTAGACCTGGTGCAAAAAAAACCGAAACATTCCCTGACCAGTGTCCAAAACATCCGCTACATTCCTAGATCTGGTGCAAAAAAAACCGAAACATTCCCTGACCAGTGTCCCAAAAAACCGCTACATTCCTAGACCTGGTGCAGAAAAAACCGAAACATTCCCTGACCAGTGTCCAAAAAAACCGCTACATTCCTAGACCTGGTGCAGAAAAATCCGAAACATTCCCTGACCAGTGTCCAAAAAACCGCTACATTCCTAGACCTGGCGCAAAAACAAAACGAAACATTCCCTGACCAGTGTCCAAAAAACCGCTACATTCCTAGACCTGGTGCAAAAAACTGGAGCATTCCCTTGACCAGTGTCCAGAAAAAAACTCTGATTCAATAATACTAGACCTTAGACCTCTTTGGTCAGAACAAGTCGCTGCCAGTCAGTCCAGGGCGCTAACTACTCAGAAACTCCAACATCCCCTGACATGTGTCTAGGAAAAAATGCAGGCAGCTAAACATGTAGACCTCTTGAGCCCTGGCCCAAAACAAAATTGTGCATCGATTTCTTGGCACAAAGCCCATACAACAATTGTGCTGATTCAGGCAAAACAGTAGTAGTTGCAGATAGGGATGCTGAACCAACTGAAGGGTCACTGGCCAAATGCACAGCCGACAGGCAGAGAAATAGAGGTTGTTGGTCTCTGCTACATCTTGGGTTGTTGCGAAAACAATCTAACCCTTTCTAACCAAGCCCCGAGGAAGGCCCACAGCCCCCCAATTGCCAAGCCCCGATGTAGGCAGCGTGCCTGTCACCTCAGATGTCACGCTTCTCTCGCTGAGGGCTCTGGATGGTGAGCTACGTGCGCAGGTTCGCGGGCGTGATCCAGAGTTCAAGCTCGCGAACCTGGCTTTTTTCCAGGAGGCCACTGGTGCTCTTCAGGAGGAGCACATTCAAAATGCACAATCCTCTGTGTGCAATGCACGGAAAGCCGCTTTGGCAGCTGCCTACAAAGTCTTCAAGTCCTCCCTCGCCAACGATGTTCTGCTGCACGAGAAACATTTGGCAGCAGCCAGTGGTTCTGAAGCAAGAACACGCGCCACAATTCTGAACAGCTTGGAGGCAACATTGGCAATCAGTAAGTGTTTCACATCTCGAATGAGCCACTTTGTTTAGATTGATGGCTTTTGGGGACCGATTTTGCATTTTGAGTAGGCAGCAATCACCACACCTTGCCCTGCAGAAAATGCATGATGCGGCGTGGAAGTTGGTGAACGAGTTTGCCACGGAGACAGTGCCGGCATGGAACATCAGCCCTGGTAAGAAGCAAGGACCTTGAGAAACTGGTCGTTGGGTCACACGTTTTCCGAGAGTGGACAAATACCTGCTTCTTTTTGACAACTAAGTTTGCCCCTGGTTCCAACTTGCAGGACAAGATGCTGACGAGCGAAGCCCATCCACTGCAGCAGCAAAAATCCATCCTTGGCTGCAACAGACTTTGCTGGGCTTTGGAAATGGCATCAGGCGAGGTGATTCAGAGCGAGTAGTGGCCTGGGTCAACTACGTGTCTACAGGAGTGGTCAGTGCAGGCAAGGTCTTGTTCACTGTGGAACAAGTTACGCAGCTGGCCCACATGTTTCCTCGCAGCTTTGTGGCCGTGGTGCTTCTCCCAAATCGAGCGGGGGACCTTCGTGTGCCAAAGTGGCTTGGCCTTCAATAATAACTTTCCGACGACGTGTTTTCACATAAAACCGTTTTAACCATCGAACATGTTTCGACACGTTTAGGTCAGAAAAGAAAGACGACGATGAGGAAGGTGACACCATGGATGCGAAGAATGAAGATGGACGCTGGGAAATATTCATGAGCCAACACTTTAGAATGCATTGTGGCAGCTTGCCCTCGTTCTGTGTGTCCTGAGGAGTTGATGATGGCGAAGATGAAGAGGATGAGTTGAAAAAAGGCTCTGCTGAGGCCATCTTGCATGACTTCAACTACAAACTCCAAAGCCAGTACATGGAAGTTGAACGTGGCTTACGTGCCCCTTGGTAGCCAACAAGGGAACTAACTATGTTTAAACTTTGGTTGATACAATGTATTCACCCACAAAATAGTTTGATATTTTGGCTTTTTAGCTGCTCAACTTGAGGTGAAATCTGCCACCATCGTATTTGACACTGATTCTGTTTACGGCAGCCGGTCAGGATGCCATCCATGCTTGCTGATTACAGCTGCCGACAAGTCGAACCGCTTCTGGCGCAGCAAAGCGTTCAAGAGTGCCACGATCCCAGGGGTCAGCATGCTGCCACGTGGCGAAATGATGAAGGCAGAAAAATCTCACAAGCTCCACGCGGTCGATGGCAAGCTCACACGCGTGCAGGAAATGAAGCAGGCCAGTCATTCATTCAAACGCTGAACCTTTTGCAAACAATACAACAAAATGATTGGCTTCCCTGCAAAACATTTGCCTCCTGCCAACACTTTTGCCCTGACCAGCACCTCGCGGGAGCCAGCGTCGTGGCGCAGTGCATGTCCAATCTGACAGACTTGGGCGATAACTTCAATGTCTTGATCGACTTGCTGGGCTACGATTCATGGCCAAGCATCTTCTGCCTACAGGAGCTGGCCAAAGGACTGGGCCCATCATTACCCAGTGAAACATGAACACTAACTTGTTGTTTGCAGTATGAGTTTGCAGGACATCGCTGGGCTTGTGGTACCGCTTGCCACTCTGAGCATGAAACAAAATGCTGTGCCGAGATTCTGTCTTCGAAGATCTTCTCC